GTTTTAATCACGCTGATAATATTTGTGCGAAAAACACAAATTACGAAGCTATTCATTGTGAAATTTTGCGTTCTGATACGACATCTGCTTTTAACACAATTTAGATTCCGGAATGAAAGCGGTAAACGAAAAGGCACGACCTGTAAAAAACGAGGGTTCAGACGCATGATTGGAACAGCCAAGCGGTTACCGCTCGTCGACTATTTACGAGTTTTGAGAAAATCGATAACGACGGTTGTAATGTTCATTGACACTAACACTTTTACTACGCCGTCGAAATGCGCACTAACACACTTCACATCCAGCAAGTACACGAACAATTAGTGCAGAACTTCAGTGTCAACAAAGGAAAGCGATGTAATTACCAACCTGCTACGAACAGCTGCTTGGCAGTCCAACACTGAGCGACAACTCGGCTACGAGTGGCAAATCGTTCTGGCCACTCCCAGGTCTGGGCCGTTGTAGCGTCGCCTTTCTGGCAGAGTCCACCAGGCGGCCGGCGCGAGAAGCTCCGATACTCGAATCGGACAGACATTGCCATGCCCACAAGAGCCCGCCACTGGGCACTGTCCCGAGCCAGGTCAATCCACTTGAAGTCCACTTTAAATAAAAGTTCGTGTTTTCCGTGTTAGCCCGGCTAACAGTTTTAAAGACGAAAAATTAGACGTCTTTTGTATCTGTTTCGTGCTTTGTACTCGCGAAGTCCCAGGTTAAAATCTCGGTCTGGAGATGGGTTATCCTGAGACTTGGGGGGGGGGTCTTTCGTGGTTTTCCTCAGTCCATCCAGACAAATGCGTTTCCAAAATTCCAGAAATATAAGTACCTTGCATGTTCTGAGGGATCACATTTTTTATGAAACCCACAAATTTTAAGAAATTGTTGTTTCAGTGCTCGGAAGAAGGATTTGTAAAATCTTTGGTGTCTTTTCTCGGCATTAAAAATTAGTTGTTTTGTTTTGGGAACGTTCGCAATGAAAAGTTAAAAAATAAATACCCGTCTGCTATGCTGCGTCTTGACTGTCAATACATTTTAAGGTCTCGGCAGCCACTGAATGGATTTTTCACGAAATAGTGTTGCGGAGTTTCATTAAAAAATTTCTCTACGCATTTCTGATTCTGAATAATTCAACAGTGGAGCAGGAATCTTTTAAACAGAAGTTGCGTAAAAATTTAAAAGTGTATTTTTTACACTTTACATTTTTTTCGTCTCAACTGTCGTGAAGTTAATGAAATACAAAGGATTTTGTGATGAATCTCTTTGTAACGTAAGATCACATTTTACACCGACAATTCTGCTTATCAGTTCCGCATGTTTTTATATACATAAACAAGGCACTGATAACAGAGCAAACATTCCAGATTACGGTATGCACACATTTTTTAACTTGTTTGTGCTTACGTACTTATAACGTATTATAAACAGTTTCTCTCGACCTGGAAAAGGCAGTTCATCCTCTGAGGACAGGTCCATATGAACAGGATCCTTCCATCCTTTTCTCTTCTCGTACTGGGACCTGTTCATATACGTTCTTGGCAGATGATCCAGAAGTGGTTTGCCATTGCCTTCTTCTGTGTGTGAATGGAGTAATTGTTGGGATGCCACGGAGGAAAACTCCGGGTTGCCTAGACCACGGCCTTGCCCAACACAAGTTATAAATTCGAACCCGAGACCCCAGGATTACAAGGCCAGCGTTCTAACCGCTAGAATATTTTTTCTCATAAATAATTCTGTATTCAGTGCCATGAGAGTCGAAAACCTCGCCAAATAATTAAAATATTTCCAGTTATGTTTGACTTCGTATTAAATATTGGCATTGATCTCCAGGTTATGTTTATTATTCGCCAAATTTTGCTGCGTTCGATGTGAATTTTGGCACTGAGATTGCTTGTGCGCGCAAACAACAACCGGGACTCTCTGGTAAAGGGTTCGTCCTGGAGACTTCAGGTTAGGTTAGGAGAGAAATGTGAGAAGCTTCTGGTTTCCACCTGGGCCCGAAGGTTAATGACGTCTTACCTTGGACATTTTGCCGAGAGTGTTAATTGGATTCAGGTGGCTCATGATAATTTCCAGTGGCAGGCTCTTTTGAGCACATTAAATGTAGAGAATTTCCTAACCAGGTTTCTCAAGTAGTGCACTTTTTTTAGTTGTGTGTAAAATAAGCAAATGTGGGAGTTTAATGGGTCAGTTCAGCAACTATTTGTGGACTTCAGGAAGGCGTATGACTCAGGTAGAAGAGAGGTTATGTGTGGCAATTTGATTGAGTTTGGAATACGAAAGAAACTTGTTAGGTTAATTAAGATGTGTAGAGTTTGTATAGGCAACCTCCTGTCGGATCCCTCCCCAGTGCACAATGGCCTAAAACAGGGGGATGCTTTGTCCTCAGTGCTTTTAATTCTGCTCTAGAACATGTCATCAGGACTCTCATAGGGAATGAGGAAGGGCTCGAATTAGATGGTCTGCACCAGGTACTTGCTTGCCTTTGCGGATGAAGTCGATTTGCAGGGGGGGGGCTGGTTGGGTACCATAACTAAGAATGCAGAAACTCTCCTAGAGGCCAACAGAGAAATGGACCTAGACGTAAATGCAGACAAAACTGAAGACGTGGGCGATCAACTTCAGCAACAACGGCGGAACACGTCATTTGAAAATGTTTCAAAATTGAAGTATCTGGGAACAACAATAACAAATAGAAATGAGGTCCATGATGAAATTAAGGTTAGAACACGTTCAGGAAATGCTTGTTTTTGGAAATTCAGAAGCTGTTATCATCCTGGTTACTATCAAAAACACTAAAGATTATTTTGCCCGCTGTCTTGTGAACCCCCCCGAGGAGGAGAAGATTGCCAGATTACGTTACTGAGGCCACTATCATCCCAGGCCGGGAGGTGGTACGGCTTGGGGAGGGTAAAGCGGTGAAAAGTAATAAAAGAAAACCAAATGAATCTACTTCGAATAATCGAAGTATATTATTTAATAAGAAATATTTAAATATAAGATAAAAGGAACAAGACACCTTTCAGGGCTCAAACTCCGGCCGGGTATCCGACTCCAGATACCCAACTCAACCCCCACAAACCCTGACTTGCCTTCCGACTTTCTCCTCGAGTCGTGCTCTCTCCGGCGGACACACACAGACTGTCCTTCTGCCCTGCTGTCTCATCAGGGTCTCGATGCCGCCGACTCCAAAGAACTTTGAGAGGGGAGATAAGCCACTCCGAGCCATGAGGCATGGCTCACTTGTATGGGTGGGAAACATGGTCTCTTACCTTGAAATAAGAACGTGGATTACAAGTGTTTGGGGGAAAAAACGTGCTCAGGAGGACATTCGGACTTAGGAGGGATGAAATAAGTGGGGAAGAATTTAGAATATTCCACGAGAAGCTACGTGAATTGTCTGGGTCACCCGGAACATCAAGGACAGTGAAATATAGGAGGCTCCGGTGGGCTGGACATGTAGCACGCATGGTGGGGAAGGCAAGGGGTGCATGCAGGATTTTGGTAGGGAATCCTTCTGGAAAACGTTCACTGGGAAGACCAAGAAGGAGATGGGAGGGCAACATGAAGATGGATCTTAGGGAGGATAGCAAATGGTTGGAGTTGCCTCAGGATCGTGGCCGGTGGCGGGCTCTGGTGTTGTCGGTGTTGAACCTGCGGATTCTTCTACCAGAGAATCAATTAGTTAGTAGAATGAGACTTTATTTGAAGTCTAGTATAACTGGCCGTCATGGTAAGTTATGAAGGCTGTTCAAATTTTAACTGGAATTTTGAGTGTTTCTCCACTGGCTGCAAACCCGTCCTGAAAATGTACGCTGCAGGAATAAGAGAAGTGCAGGGGTACACAAAATAGGTGAATTAAAGTATTCAGGAAAAGTTCAATATTAAATTTAATTAATCAATGTCATAAAAACTATGATACAAGTTTATGTATAAAATTATGATACACACATAAAACCGATCTTTGTTTTCAAAGTGTTTTTATTAGTAACATTCCATCCAGAGTACCAACTTAACGAATATAACATACTTTCAGAGACAGAGCTGCAGGTTCAGCTGTTGGCGATCGTCAAACATAACCTAACTTTCCGCTCTGAGGGCTTTCATTGTACTTGCACAGAAATGCTCACATTTTAGTTACGGGTGGAGACATCTGGCGTAGGTGTGTTCACCCTTCAACGCACAGTGCAGTGAATCGTTGATTTATTGCAACAGAGATGGCAGTAGCAACGGTAACATGGCGTACGTACTACATTCTACTGTTTGATGCTACGAACATTGTAGATATTAAAATACACGGGAAATTGTAGCGTTTAATATGTTTTGATGAAGTTACACGTTAGCAGCGGCTATTAACACAAAACTCTAACCTAATTCTGAATGAAATAAAAACAGACCTTAAATACAAAATACTTAATATGGTAATTGTTATTAATTGTGTGTTTGGTAGAACCGTGAGCAGTCTGCCAAAGCAGAATTCAACGTGTATTTGAGCATGTTTGGCTCTGAGGCGTTCCCACTTACTCGTAATCACCATGACACAGCGATGATTCTCTCACAAATGTCTCTCATGGTTTGTGTGAACTATCAATGAATTTGTAGCGTCTGAAGCTGATGTCACCTCGTCCAACATAACCTTAATACCGTCTGAAGCAGATGTCACCTCGTCCAACATAACCTTAAAAAAAGCATCGTTGTAACAATACAAGACATTTAATTACGAGCAGAGTTTACGTAATAATTGTTAGGTTAGATCAAAAATGTAATTTCTGTCATTGCAGAGTTCACGAATACAGATTTGTATTTGTTAACATTTTTTTTTCTTCAGAATTCTGTTTGTATATATTGCAAGTTTTGGACATGTTCCATTTTGAATTAAATCTTTATAAAACAACAGATTCATACCATTATCATTTTAAATATTGTTAAGTCACATACTGAAATAGAATCTTTTTTAATAAAAATCAGGGAATCAAACTCATGTAAACAAAATTAAACATACGAAAAACTGTTTGAGACAAATGTTTCAAAAATCATCTTCTGTTTATGAAATTACTGCACACTGCGAGAGTGACGCGCAGTCCGCCATTTTGGGATCAGATTCGCACGCCCACGATCAGATCGCACTTCAGAGTGTCGTAAATTCGTGTTTTTAACCACTGAATTTGTTTAAACAGACACGGGGGGGGGGGCGTAACGTCAATGTAGTTGCCTCGAATATACGAAGCTGATGTCAGAATTTGGTGCCACGTTGTGGTGAGTTCCTCTTGGCTCTGGTCACACTGTGATCAGTCCGACATGTTCACTGGAGAGTTGAGGATGTCACTAGTTGGTCACCCTTGTCCCCTTCCACTCCACGTACAAGAAATATGCTCCTGCCCCGTATGCCAGCGTGTTGAAGAGCCCAAATACCTAAACACGGACACAGAGCATGTCAGTGGCTCAACTTTCGTTACATTAACTTCAATACGAAGCCTCAGAGACCGCGTAGTTGAAGGGTATTTACGTAAACCAAGGGACAAATTAATACGGTGAACTAACAAGATTGTGGCAACCCTAAATCTGTTTTTACTGATGAAAAATTCCATTGAAAATTGGCTCTATTCTGGGTTATTGTGCCGCGTAGTCTGGTGGAAGTCTAACGACATTTCAGAGGTACTTGCTGCCTTCATAATCAGGGCAATACAATCAGGAAAGGTACCTCTGAAACGTCGGTAAACTTCTACCAGACTACAGGATGCAACAACCCAGAAGACATCAATGCTCGAACATAAATCAGTTTATAAATTTCTTCAAAACACGCGCACAGATCGGAAAACAGCTGTTGGGAAAATGTCTGCGCGCGCATATTCCTTTGTTTGAAAGTGTGAGTAGGCGGTTACCCCTGCAGCGATGTTGGGATCCCTGATGTATCGATAGTAAGGCGGCGAATGAATCGACAGCTGCACGATGAATGCAATCAGGTAGAGCACTGTGGTCGCGCTTGTGTTCAGCAACTCCTGGAACACAGAGCACAGCGGTAACATCTGAATCCAGCCCAGTTCTCTCGGAAATTCTCCCAACAACACTCAGTTCACCTTTGACGTGATGTGTTTGTCTTACCGTCAGGATCCAGTTGATGGGCAACTTCAGGGCCTCCCGGACGGAAAGCAGGTAGATGAAGATCCAGATTATCGTCGCGATGAAGCTGATCACGGCCACGAACAGAAACCAGTGGGTGCCTGAGAGGTAGGCGGGCGAGGCACACGCCATGCAGATGATCCCGAACACCTGGAACCGAAGTCAAGGTGAGAGGGACAGAGGCATCGACCATCTTATCGTCGTCATGAGGCCCGTTGCATGTTCCTTGTGGGATATACCCAGTATGGAACAGAGGCCTTCCCGAGAAGCTGATAGTCGCTCAGCCTGTCAATACATCCGACATCCTCTGGCTTTTATGAAACGTTTGTTACCCTGTCCTCAAAAGCTCACCACTAGACCCTTTCCTGAGCTGGAAGAATCCGCTCCATGCCCTCAAACACTGAGACTCAATATCCATCCGTCACTGGGTCACCCAAGTGATCTCTTTCCTTCGGGATTTTAGGCTAAAATGCAGGCCTGCAGCCCTCGGACTTGGAGGGTCTTTCTCTAAGAACCGACGTTTCGTCCGCGACCCTACGTAAAGACTGCTGACATCTGCACGCAAGGCAATCCTATAGAAGCCGTGTTCCGGTCACCTTCTAGGCCTTTGCGCCGTGTAGTCCGGAAGACGTTTAACGACGTTTCTGAAGTGCTGTTGAAACGTCGGAAAACTTATCCCAGACTACACGGCGCAGAAACCCAGAAGAGATGTCGGTAGGGTAATGGCCGGTGCTTACGTGACAACGTAGAGGGGGGAGGAGACAGCTCCACGTATTCCTAAACGTCGGCTGTATGTTGTGGGGGGGGTGCATGTGGACGGGCGGAAGAGCCCTCGGGTTGGCCTCAACAGCTCCGCGGAGCGATCGGTCCGTGACAGCCGAGCACACGCCCAGATCTTGACAATGGACCACGGACGTTGTTGTGGGGCGTCGTCGAACTCTCCTTCGCGTCGCTCTGTTACACAGCCTCCGGCCACTCGTGACGTCGTAGCCCGTTGCCGCGCGTGGCTTCCGTCCCGTAAGTGGAGGTTTCTTTGCGTTTTGTCAAGTTTCCGGTCTGCGTGCTTCCGTTAATGACCCGGGGTAAGTCAGTCGCCGCGGCGGCTGGCGTGGAACCTCACGGGGTCTTACAAAACTTACGCTGTGTACGTCATGACACTGCCCGAACTCGTGTTAGGAGCAGCGAGGTTCCGAGCAATGGCTTGTGGGCGTTGTCATCAGTCTTCGCAAGTGGGACGTCTGTTTTCGAGGTGTCTGCTGTTAAACTACGGGAGCAGAGTTCTTGTTGACAAGCTGACAGTCGCTCATATAGTCACGAAATTTCTCGTTTTTCTTGGGACCCATGACAAGAATAAGATTGCGAAGGTACTTAATGGAGTACACTGACATTCCAGAGGCGTCTTCATCACGCCACATGACGTAGGTCGTTGTTGCATGATGTAATGCCTTAACCAAGATGGTGGAACCACGTGGCAAAACACTTCACGCAAAGTTATTCTGTGTTTGTCTGTCACCTGGTACGGCTTGGGTTATTAATTAGAACAATAAGCTTGCATTTTTTCCGGCCCCGCTTCGCTGCTATTGGAGCGGCCGAGACAAGATGGCGCTGGCAAGGCGAAGTGAGCGGCCGAGTCATCGGATCGAGGGTCTTCGGGAGGTTCACGAGGGCGATCATTCAGGATGAGACACGGAGACGATAAAAGGCGTGGAAGACCAAAGCAGAGACGGGAAGATCTTGAAGCTGGTGTACCTTCTGGGATTTCACGCAGAAACTGACCGACGTTTCAGATGTGTTTACTCCTTCCATCGTTAGGGCGATGACGAAATGTGGCCTGAGGGTTGTGTAGGAGCTGAGCGACTGTCAGTTTCACGAGGACTCTGCTAAACGTAGTCGGTTCGAGCCTCTGGCTCTCGCGCCAATTACGTCTTCGACGGCATACGCTACGATGCTGTGGACGTTCGCTGTTATCGGCCTTGAGCTGGCATTCCTTACATATCAGTAATCGCCACTTATCGCCGGTGGAGTCATTCGATGAGTGTTCTAGACTGCATTCACACGAGGCTCAGTGAGCTGCAGATAAAGCCAACGCCTTTATACGGGAGAGGCACATTGTGGGAAAGAAAAGACTTAAACCAGATGGCTTAAGGGACCCGAAGGTTCGTCACCGAATTAACCAAAGCCCTCCACCGGACCCTGTCCTGGGCCAACGAAATCCAGTCTCCTTCAACTCCTATCTCCCATAGATCCCGCCTGAGATTATCCTCCCATCTACGTCTAGGTCTCCCCAGCGGTCTTTTCCCCTCGGGCTTCCCAACCACCTCTTGTCCCATCCATGCGTGTTGCAAGCCCCGCCCATCTCATTCTTCTCGACTCAAATTAAGTTCGGATATTTAAAACCTGTTTGCGTGAAATTTGTTTCATTATCCACGCATTTAGACGAAGGTCTGTTCAAGCGGAATTTTTAATCAAAATGTTTCTATAATAACGACGTCTTCTTAATCGGGACATGACAGTCGCCTCTGCGGGGAACCGCTTTTGGTGATGATGGACTTCCTCGTCAGCTGTCCAACGCGGCCAGCGTTTTTCGCGAACTTTCCCCTCGCCCGCCTGAAGGTAAGGTTAGGTTAGGCTACGTTTGGTTGTGTTAGGTTAGGTTAGCCTTAGTGGGCGTGAAACATGGTCGCCTGCTTTTACGCGTGAACAGAAGTTTCCTAAAAATGAAATGATCATGAATCAAGGGCGAGAATTGAGGCACTTAGGAGAGTGGCGGCCAACAAATCCACGATTTTGATGGGGAAAGAAACTTTTCGGGAAATGGACACTACGAAGAAAGAAAACATCGCAAAAGAAAGTCAGACGCTCATCGTAAGTCTGTCGTCCTCTCGCAATTTATGGAATAAGAACCATGTGCACGTTTCCTTTGGCTCTTGTCTGGCAGCGCCAAACGGCCGAGGGCGTAAACACACGCCATGAAATGAGGAATGTTTAAGGCCGATTGACAGGCGTCGGCAAATGAAACATCGGTTAATAATAGCGTGTTTACACACCGGGGACCGTAACTGTTCCTGGCTGCGCCGTGGAGCCTTGTTCCGCTTGCTGCTGTTATAATACATTCGCCGGCTAAGCAAATTACAGTGGGCCACGACCACTTCCTTCCACACGCTTCAAAATTCATGATGCACATTTGACGCGATCTGTCCTCCACAACTGATAAAGAGTTGTTAAATAACTTGCTACTGATCTTAGAATTGCTGGCGGTGAGAAGGGCGGGCACGTATCCCGAGCGGGAGAAACAACAAATGCACCCATAATTTTTGCCGGGATATAAGAGAGGGTAAAACCACTTGCGAGAGACCTGGTAGTAGATGGAAATGCTGAACGATGGAATCGACAGGATTAAGCTGGCTCAGGACGAGGTCCAGTGGCGGGGTAATGAAATTTGGGGTGCCGTGAAAGACGGTGAATTTCCTGACCAGCTGAGCGACGTTCAGCTTTCCCGAAACAGACGAGGGTTCACTTTAGCTTGGATTACTCCGTGACGGAGGTGAGGTTCGTAACCGATCGCCACTCCGCTCGGAGGATCGGATGTTCCGACGGGTGCAATGAAACAACCCTCTTAGTCATTTGAATAAAGATTTCCTTGGATGTTATCCATCGTCTAGTAAATATAAAACGTAAAACGACGTTTCGGAGATAGGGATTAGCTCTATCTAGTGGGCCCAACTGTGTAGGAACCTGAAGACGGAGATAGAGTCCCATCTCCGAAACGTCGTTTTACGTTTTTACGTTTTATATTTACTGAGACGATGGATAATATTCAAGTAAATTTTTATTCAATTGACTCTTCACCATCGTCAAGAAGTTTTAGATTTGATAACCCTCTTAGTCTTTCAGTGGCTCTTTAAATAACACGTGTTCCCCAGCCGTGTTAACGCAACACCAAAGTTAGTGAGAGTGGATAAATCTCACACGCGGTTATGCACCTGAGTCAGAAGAAAGTTCAACGCGCGGTTAATTTAAATTACGTCAAGTTGAAACGTTGGACCGACTGCAGCTCAAGACGAGAGCAAATCCCGTCTGCGACACGTGGTCTTTTTTTTTTTTAGACTAGCCGACGACGGGCAGAGTCCAAGATCGCGGTAATCGAGACGGTGGCTGCAGAATCACAAGCTGATAGTCGTTTAGCTACTCAACAAATTCCCCAATTCTCCAATCTGCGTCTTCATTTTAGGTTAATTAATCGCTAATTGCATCTGGTGAGGAGTACAACTCACCCCCTCCCCCTCCTTCCGTCTGCGCCCACCGGCTAACGATCATCCACGGCCCGAAACCAAAGCTGAATGACGTACCGGCCCACGGAAGGAAAGTCATATCGTCAACGCTTCTCCAAATAGTCTGCCTTCTACAAGGCGACCGTCGTAACTTTCAAGGTCACTTCAGTACACGATCTCACAAAACCGCCTTGTAACTAAAATCTCGTGGACAGTAGGTTCCTTGAAAGACTGACAGTTGCCCAGCTGGTCATGAATTTGACTCAACATGATTGTCTCGTAGGTTTGGTAGAAATCGGCCGACGTTTCAGAGGTCATTGCCGCCTCCATCATCAGGGCGAAAAGTCCAAGAAGTCGTCGTGAGAACCTGAGATCTCACCAAGAATTTTCACGAAACTTCTTCGTGTGTGAGACGGAAATTACGAAAATGGCGGATTCTCGAAATATTTTACATTAGCGACTACAGAAGTGAGGTTAGGTTGGATTTCTTCAGACTGAAGTTAACCCAGAACTCGAGAGAAATCTTGGCTGTGTGAATGCCTTAGACCGCTCTTACAGGCTGCCTATCTGCTTGTTAACCCTCGCCCACCAGAGGTCACACAACCTCTGGCCACTAATTAGTGCTGGCCTCGTTAATTCGTCAGTCTGCTGTGACATTAATGGGCTGGAAACAACGCCTCACGCCTCGATCAGTCAGGCGTCTTATTTCCTTGGTCTGGCGTAAAGACAACTTCAGTTTCATCGCCCTGATGATGGAGGCAGAAAGGACCTCTGAAACGTCGTTGAACTTATACCAGAAGACAGAGATCTTCAGACTCACCGCCGTGAGAACCTCAAATCCCACAACCTCAGTTCAGCACACTGGGGTCCGCGACCCGA